TTTCAAATAAATAAACAATCATTTATAATAAATCATAAACATAAAATAAAAAAATATCTTATTTCAATATATAATTAGTTAAATCCTCAAAATTATTATCACTGTTAAAAAATATATCAAGAGTGTGTTTGTAATTTTTTATGCAAGTCATATCAGGGGTGTTAAAATGAGTCACGACACACGAACACAATTTGCCTAACACGCGAAATAAATAGGTTAGGGTTAAGGTTAAACGAGTTCATGTCATAAACGATCACCCATTTATGACATGAATATAGATGTGTTGTGTCGCGGGTTGACATGCGGGTTAGGCGAGTGGCCAGCCGTTTATTTAAGAGTAAAGAGGTAATTTTAGTGTTTAGGTAAAGAGGTAATGTTTAGTGGTTAGATATAAATAATTCCAATTAATACGTATTTAAATTAATATAGATGTGTTGTGTCGCGGGTTGACATGCGGGTTAGGCGAGTGGCCAGCCGTTTATTTAAGAGTAAAGAGGTAATTTTAGTGTTAGATATAAATATTCCAATTAATACCTATTTAAATTTTATTGTTGTATTACTTTCTGATTTTAATTATGAATCTTGAACAATTTATACATTTTACGTGTGAAAATTTATTTTTAAATATGATTGGAGTTAAATACGTTAAAAGTTAAAAATACTATAAGCAAATTAAGTGAGTCGTATGTAGGTCAACACATCCGTTTAACCTATTTATGACATTGAGCGGGTTACACGACTCACTAAACTTGTTTATGATATTCAGCGGGTTAAACTTGACGTGTTTGTGCCAACCATCTAATTTTCATGTTGTGTTTGTATCGAAATTATAAAAAATTATTTTATCATTTAATATTGCTCCATGCATCGCGCGGGTTCTAATACTAGTTAATTAATAAAATTTAACCCTTTCTTAAATATCGCATTATTTAAGTGAGGCACAATTGTTAATTTTCAATAATAACATTTTCTTTTCTCTAAAATTTTGCCTTCTCCAAATAAAGAAAATTAATTTCATTATATCCAAACATGATAATGGAAAATAACTATGAGATTAACAAAGCCCATTATTTTCTTCTATTATCTTCTTTTCTCTCCTTTCTAAACAAAAGGTAAAAGTTTAATTTCTGAAAACATCGTGACTTATAATGCTCGTTGTCTTTCTAAGGCCCAATCCATTCTAAATAATTAAATCAAATCTCTATTGAACAACATAATATTTTTATTTCATATAATATGTAAAGTAAAATTTTTATAATTTTAAAAGATAACAATACTAAAATTCTAATATTTAAAATATATAAAATCCTAATTAAATATTTTTTTTACCTATCCATATTTAGCTAGATGCATCTCTATGTTTCTGCTTTCCAGGAAAGGTCATTACCATTTTCATCCTTTTCTTTTTTCATGATTTTTCTCTTGTCAACGTAACTTTCATATTTTCTCTCTCTTTCAACTTTTTTTTAATTAATTCGGCTTTTTATTCAATTTAACATTAAGCATATCAATTTAATTTTTTCTTTATTTTGTCAATAATTACCTTTCAATTAGCCATTATATATAGATATTATTCAGTAGTGAAAAATTACGCAAGTATGAGTTTTACTACATAAGGTTGGGAAAAGAAATTTAAAAGAAAACTTGTAGATCAATGTAATTGGAAATTGAATAATGATTTTTTTTTTTTTTGCTACTCAAATTTATAAGAGTCAGTGCTGAATTAATAAAAAATAATTATATTCTTAGATTCATTTTTAATTACTTATAATGAAATATTGGCTACTCACCAATTTTATTATAGAGTCAGATGTCTAGAAATTAATGAAAAAAATAGAATTATATTCTTAGATTCATTTTTCATTACTTATAATCGAAATTATAATAAATTCAGTATATAACATAAAATCAATATTAGTACATAATAAACCAAAGATAATTAGCTATTATCAATATAATATATGAGTAATATAGGTATTATTATATATTCTATGGATTAACAATAATATTAGGAGATTTGATGTTGAGAAGGAACAAAAAAGAAAATCGCACGGTTGGTGATTTATCAGACATATTATACTGGCGTGTTCCAGTAATAATGCTTAGTACACGCAATATATCCACATTTTTTTCAATCAAACATTTGTACCAAAAAAAAAAAAAAAAAAAAAAAAAAACATATCCTCTTTATATCTTCAAATTCAAAAATTAACGTGTAAAAGTTAGTTATTACTCTTGATAAAAGAATTTAGTAGTATTTACCAGGAGAGCAATGTATATAGGTGGACTTATTCAAACAAGTAATAACTAGTTTAATCACACATAATTACTAATTAATGTTTGAGAAATTCTTTTAAAAAAAAAAAAAAAAAAAAAAAAAAAACACTATCCTCTTTATATCTCAAATTCAAAATTAACGTGTAAAAGTAGTTATTACTCTTGATAAAAGAATTTAGTAGTATTTACCGAGCATTATTTGGACTAATTCAAACAATAATAATGTTTAATCAAAAAATACAATTAATGTTTGAGATTTTTGATCGGTGTTAAAGACTCGTGTACTTACTTGACATTTATCGCTTTGTCTTCTTGGTTAAAATAGGTGAAAATACTATAAATATTTGTACTCAACCACTCAACCTACAGAGTACATATTGCAATCAATCAAACTTCTAATATTCTTTCAAGCTCTCTGTCTTTTTCACTTCTATTAACTCATTTTGTTTTAAAATATAAGTCGTTTTAGAATTTTGTTTTAAAATATAAGTCATTTTAGGATGATTGTTTTGTCTCAAAATGTAAGTCGTTTTGAGAATTTTAAGTCATAATGAATAGTGTTTTTCCAATGTTACCGTTATTTATATTAAATATAATAACTATCTTCATATATTGTTATTCTTGATTTTAAAAAAAGATAATTTAATCAAATTACTATTGATTTTATTATAATTTAAAAGAACTAATCGTTTCTTTAATACACATGCAAAATACTTACAAAAATAATTAAATTGATCATACTAGTTTGATTTAGTTTGATCCTGAACTCTATTTTAGCTCAAGTCGGTTTTCACTTTAAAAGTTGGATTTTAACTTGGTTTACTTGTTGATATTGAATCAAATAGATGATTTTTCTTTTTCATTTGGTAGTATATACAATAATTATTATACATTTTGTACTACTGGCAGCAATTACAATAGTCTTAAAGCTCATTAAAGACAGTACAATTCATAATTAAGTACATTAAAGAATATTACAGCCCACAAGGGAAGAATACAAATTATACTTAAATGTTTACACAAGGGAAATTGAACCTTAGGCCTAGAGGTACCCAGGGAATCAAATAGATAATTTGCACACCCGTAATTAGACATGTAAATTTTATTTTATTTGCTCTTTTTGTATACTAATATTTTAATATATATTCTTTATATTTCATATAAAACCCTATTTTTTAATTGGTGTTTCTGCGAAACTATCTCTGAATGGACATCATGATCAAAATCTCGTTGGCTATATAAACTTTCTCCCTCCCCGATACTAAATAAATACACATATTTTAGAAATCATTTGGATTAATAGAATTTCAATGATGGAATTGATATATTTTATAAATTTTTCAGATTCTTTCATTTGGTTAAAACAAAAAAAATTATAATATGTGAAATTGATAAATCCTACAATGACCTAACTCCATTATTTTAGAAGAGAGAGAAACCTATGAGATTCTCGCTATGGATTAAAACCCGATATTCCTGCTCGGCATTTTGTGGTTTTGTTTCCTGCTAGAATATGTAAAAATACAATAAATATCTGTATTCAATCTTAGGAGAGACACATGTTGTGGTTGTGTGCCCACTCAAGTGGGACCCACGAACTAAAGTTAAAAACGGAAGGAAGTAAAGTTGGCTGCAAAACGTGTTATGTGTGAAAGTAATGGTTTGTGTGCCCCACTCAAACGTGAGACCTTCACGAATAGACAGTCCTATAAAAACGGATAGGAAGTAAAGTATGGCTATAGACCAAAAACGGTGTTAATGATGTGATAATTAGAACCAAGTTCAACAGTCGAACTGGCTGTTGAGATTGGTGGTACATGGGACGATAGAATTGAATAGGATTGTTGTTCTTACGACGGCTGCCAAGATAACCGGTAAACGCATTGCCTATAAATACCAGAGCAAGAGCAGAACACACAATAACACACAGAAGAAAAAAGAGAGAAAATGTAGCGAGAACAGAAGTTTTTCTAATTTTTAGGATGAGTTTCCTAATTAGGGGAGAGAAAAATAGTGAGGAAATTATTAATGGAGTGTTTTTTTTGGGAGACACTTTGAGTGCTCCATAGTTTCATATTAGATATTCAACTACTTTAAGTTGCATATGTACCTACTATGCTTAATGAGTCGGTATTGCTAACGAAATGAAAATTCGCTTTGGAATTGTTATTGGTGTGAGTCCGTAGACGTAGACCTAAAACAGTTGAGTTTGAGAAATAACGTATAAATTTCTCGCTCGTCGTCGACTGGTTCAACAAGTTTTTATTATTTGAGTTAACTGTTCGTATAATTTTCTCATAATTATTGGTTGTGAAGGCCACAACTGAGTGACTATTCCTAGAAGCTGATGCCCAAACAGTGGTATATTCCGCTGCGTTAATTTTCTCTTAATTGGTTGAAAGGGCCCAACGAGTGGTATCAGAGCTGATGCCCAACAAGTGGTATCAGAGCTGATTCCTAACAACACATTCTCATTAATCCAATTTTCCAGTATTCTCCAAGTTTTTTCATCTTTTACATCTATCGATAAGCTTGCATACAAATTGTTTTTGTCAAAGTTGTAATGTTCTTGAGTCTTCTATGAACACAATCAGAGAAAATTTTCATGTTAAAACTCATACCCATTATCATCAAAAAGAAAATGGTCAAGACATGTTCTTTAGAGGGCTCTTAACTACTTGCTCCACTTGACATATGCATTCAATAGTTTGTACCCCTTAATCCTAAATTCTGGTCTGCCATTGAATACGATCTTCAAATATTATTTCTGCCTTTGCCGATGCGCGGGGAAATCGAACTACTTCCTCCGAAGTTTTCATCTGATTTTGTGCAGATAACACAGTAGGAAACTGAATATACATCTCTTTAAGTGTGCATAATTTTGCTAATAGAAACTTAACAAACTCCAATTCAGACCTACTACCATAAAAATTTAGTAGCACCACTTTCTGAAGTTGGTTCAAACAAAATTTTGACTGTTTTTCAGCTTCCAAAAGTTCAATCCCTTGATAGGAATTCAAGTTAGCTTCATTGCATGGAAACCCCTGGAATAAGAATATAAACAAAAGGAACCAAATCAACCTAAGCCTTTCATATATATATATATGTGCGTGTGTGTGGGACGAAAAAAATAAATAAAATATTTAATCCAATTATTCGAATCTCTAGGCCTTTCATATAATATAATATTTATGTGACGTTGAGTGTGTGGGCACAAAGCCACGAAAAAAAATATATATAAATAAACATATAATTATAAAAATGAACACGCTAAATTGTGTAAGTTTTCGAGCATTCGTTGGGAAGAGGCCTTTTTAAGCTTCTAGGACAATAGAACAGCACTCGAGTACTTCCTTTGCTTACACACACACATAATATCATGGCTAACGTTTAAAGTACTTTTACATGGTTCAACAAAACATAATTCAGCAACTTTAAGTACTTTTAAATGGTTCAAAGGAGATGGAAGCCTCTTGGATTCGTCCTGAACAGAAAAAGACTTGCAACAAGAACAAAATGAAAGATTCAGCAATGTGTAAATTAAACAACTTAAGTACATTACAAGAAGGATGAAATAATGAATTACCTTAAGGAAATTGGAATTCACCATGAGCTCTTCCATAGCTGGCAAACTAGTTAAAAAATTAGTCACACTTACGAATCTTGGATACCCATTGGGATTCTCATAAAGCATCACAGTTGCAAGACGAGGCACATTTTCAAAATGCATAGATATGAAAATCCCATGGTAATGTAGGAATTCAAGATTAGGAGCATTGATCTCCAGGCAAGAAATACCAGTGCACAAAACCAATACTAGACGTTCAAGCAATGGGCAGTTGGAGATAAAACTTTTAAACTCAAGTGTGAACTGCACTTGCTTAAATCTTAGATCAACCAAAATACGAAATCCTTTAAATCCAGATGGAGGTTTGAATATACATGAACCTAGAACCAAACGTCTTAGGTGCAAACACGAATATATGTAAGAAGGCAATTTATGGTAAAAATACGAAATCATTGTAAATCCAGATGGAGGTATTGAAATATACATGAACCTAGAACCCAAACGTCTTAGGTGTCAAGTGTGAACTGCACTTGCTTAAATCTTAGATCAACCAAAATACGAAATCCTTTAAATCCAGATGGAGGTTTGAATATACATGAACCTAGAACCAAACGTCTTAGGTGCAAACACGAATATATGTAAGAAGGCAATTTATGGTATTCTGCACTTGACAAAGAAAGCATGAAATCTTGGATACCTTTCCTACTCAAGAACAGAATTAGTCTATCAATCTCAGGACAACTTTTCAATCCAGGAATAGCAAGCCAGAAACTATGTATCGGTCCGCGGTGAAGTAATGCCACTTCATATATAGTCATCAAAACAAATTTATTACTGTCTGTTTGTTGTCTTTTTAGTGAATCACTAAGAAAAGTATCAAAAAACTTAAGTTGAGGAAAATCTGCCCATTTATACCTCCAACGTTTTGACAAGATACTGGTTCTTACTACCTCTCGTATTGGTACATACGTCATTATTATATCCATGACATTGTCTGGTAGATCACTGATTCTATCCAACTTTGAAGGATCAATAATCATCTCTTTTTGGTGATCGTTACTCTGCAAAATGAATCAGATAAGAGCAAGAATTGAACAGATAGCAGGTCAAATACATACTACGTATATTTCATTCAATACATTAAGTTTCAGGAAGAAAGATTGGAATTATGTACTCAACAGTTACCCAAAATTTTGGAAGCTCAAAACTAATTGCTAATTATGCAACAATTTTTTCCTAATTTTGCGGTTAGGTTTTTATAACCAATGAAAGCAAAAACAATCTTTCTTTATCATAAACACATTGATAGTATATAGTAATTAAAAGAGCAAAGGACAAAAATGCAGTAAGGGACAAGAGGGTATAGAGAAATCCAAGAACCTCAAAATCATAATCATCAAGAACACAGAATTAGAACTCATCAAGAAATGGAATTTGCTAGAAAGTTCAAAATTAAGATCAGACGCTTAATTAATAAATCATAAATCGCATCAAAAGAAACACATGAATCTCACAATCCAATCAAGCAAATTGGCACTTATTCTTGCTAGAAGTCAATTGAAAGATCAGAACGCTAATTTAATAAACCAAAAAGCCTATTGTAACTTACACATCCATAACTCTGTTTTACATGTACATAGCATCTCACTTGGACCCGAAACAATTAATACAAAAGAGGAAAAGGAAATGATAATCGTTAATATCACCAACACATTGAATAAGTTGACCTGGTAGTCCAATCGAGTTGAGTAAATTGCACACCACATAACGCCTATCCACAAGTTAATTCACTCAATTTAATTTTGCGGTTAGGTTTTTATAACCAATGAAAGCAAAAACAATCTTTCTTTATCATAAACACATTGATAGTATATAGTAATTAAAAGAGCAAAGGACAAAAATGCAGTAAGGGACAAGAGGGTATAGAGAAATCCAAGAACCTCAAAATCATAATCATCAAGAACACAGAATTAGAACTCATCAAGAAATGGAATTTGCTAGAAAGTTCAAAATTAAGATCAGACGCTTAATTAATAAACAAAAAGCCTAAAGAACTTATCATACTCTGTTTACATGTACATAGCATTCTTGGAACCACAAAATAAAAGAGGAAAAGGAAAGATAATCGAATATAACCAACCATTAGGCCTGTAGTCCAATCGAGTTGTATGCAATAGCTCAAAGTTCAAATTCAAACCCTAATTTTTTTTTCTTTTTGGGCTAATTGGGGTTCTTCGATTTTGTTTTCTAATAGTCTTCTTTCTTTTTTTGGTTATATGTTGATTGTTCTATGAGCGAAGGACGCGAAACTGCTGTATGAAGATGGGCTTCGCAGGAGAACTCAAGCGCTATTTTAATATCTAAAATGGGCAATTCCTTCTTATCGGCAAACTGAATTAGTTATCTGTTTAGTTAACTAAAACAGAACATAAAGTGAACGTTAGAATCCTTCTCTTTGTGCCCCAATGGGACTGGCCGCTTGTGTTCAGTATAGTAGGCGAAAACTAGCTTACAATATTCACTGCTAAATGAAATAAATAAATAATTTTTTTTCCATATATAATATAAAAAAACTGAACAAAGAAAATTTTTGTCTTTATTCAGCATTTTATTTTATTTTTTAAAAAAATTCTAATTTTTTTTATTTTGATGGATCACGATTAACTAATGTTTTCAATTAAATATATAAAACATGATGGCTATACAAGAGGAAAAATTCTCTCCTTATTAATGAAAACTCTTATAATCGAGAAGGCTCAAACTTAAAACATGCCTCTTCTACTCATACTAATAAAAAAATCAATCAGACCGCATTAATAACTTTTAAAACTTGTAATCTAATCTAATCTAACATGTAACATAATCCAATTAGAACCCTAAATTTGAATTGAACATGTTAAAAACTAATTCCCGATCGTAAGTGTGCAAAGTGAAATCCAGTTAAGGTTCCTACTTAGCAATCAAGCAGAAACGTGGAAGAGAGGAGGTTGCAAATTTAGTGTTTTCATATCTTATTTCTAATTTATTGTTTTCATCCAACAATAACTAAATTCTTGCAAATTCTTTCCTCTTACTCCCTGTACACTCAAAATCTAATAATGGATGAACAAATGTTACATAAAGTTTAATTTTTTTAAAAAAAATTGGTTATATAATTTTTGAAATTCTAATAACAATTTTTAGTTTGGTGTCAGAAACTTGATATTACTTGATTCGATATTATTTCGATTTTTGGACCTAAAAAGGAGGATGAGTTTCGTAGTGTTCATGAAGATTTGTGATTTTACTCCACAAACTAGCTGCAAGATTTTTTTTTTTTTTTATTTCTTGAATTTTTTTAAATGCATTGAGAGAAAATTTACTTATAGGTAAATGTTGCTAATGATGATAAATTCTATCCGGTAAATTTTATTGGTGGACTGAGAAATGAAGCCCAATATCTCCTTCTTCCTTCTCGTCTGGCAATGTAAATGCCTCTTTCAGTGCAATCTAATTAGCAAAGAAACATATTTAACAAATTTGTTCATAGAATTAATAAGAAATAATAAAAATAAAAATAGAGAAAAGGATGTGAATAGTAGTTATAATTTAGAAAGTATGTAATTTTATTTGTAGTTGAATATTAGAAGGGTTATATTTATTATTCCGATATAATGTCTACTAGCTATCAATAACATAGTTGGTTAAATAAATTATATTTATTAAATCCAAAACCAATTTATCTTCAAAAAAAATAAAATTCAAAGCCAATTTATTGAAAAGAATTATTATCAATTTATTTTAATAAAAACTAATTGATTTTAGTTTATCCTATGTTTTCTTTTTCATTCTACAAAAAAATTAAGGTGTGAACCAATCTATTTGACAGACTAGAAATAGCGAAAGGAATAGTAATGATGGAGATTAGAATATTTTTGGTTTAAGAGGATCATTTAGGGATGTAATATGTAACAGTAGACTGGAACTAGATGATTTAAGGATTGTTCTCGTGGAGATAGACAATTCAAAAGGTTTCAAAAAATACAATGAGTATTGATTTTCAAACTTCATGAAAATATTTTTATACCACGATTGATATTGGTTTTGAAATGAAATAAAAGTAAATGCAATTTCTATTAAAAGAATTTCAAGGTTTTGTGTGAGTGACATGCCGATGTTTTTAAAAGCGGAAAGGGAAAATCATTTTGAAAGTTTTTAAATAGCCAGTTATCCATAGGACGGTCAACCTAGGCTGTAGTTGTTAACTCATTAGTCGAATTTTTGAATAAACGATTAATCTAACAATTTATATCAGTGAAACAATGTATATTGGAAATATTAGTAAATAAAGAATTAATTTGCTCAAAAATCCTTAGTAGACACATTTGATGAAATGCTTGAGTGTTGTAGACCATTATTATAAATGAACCCATTGACATAGAACCTTTCTTAAGAAAAAGAGATATGACATCAGTAAAAGAAATGAATTTATTGAGGTAGAAATTAACTTGGGAATACGATATACAAACGGTGAAATTTAGAAATAGATACATTAAGAATTGATATTTTTCGTACTATACCTTTTTAACTGTAGTAAATTACGACAAAACATAATTAAAAAGGTTAAATTTTTAGGTAATTTACGAAATCATAAGAAAACTGTTCTACTTTAGAGGACGTTTTGGAGTAAAAGATATGTTAATACAATACAATTTAAATATGTGACAATTAATTTTTCCGGGCTCTTCGATAAAAATTAAAATTAATAAATTTAAATCCTGACAGGATGGTTGTCGGTAGAGAAAAAAAAAAAGAACATTCGAAGTTGATCCATCTATGAGACAATACTTTGACTTAAATTGATTTGGGGGCTATCTGAAAATGATAACAGTAGTAGATGTAAACAACCCATAAATGTATTAAACAATTAAACTTCAAGAGGAAAGTTCGAGAATAGTTATTAAATTAGTGAAATGTACAGTTATTAGTTGATATTAGTTGAGGTTGAGATAATAACACCAAGTGGCCTTGTGCCAACCTGAGAAACTAGAGTCGATAAGATTAAATGGATAAATTTAAGGAAATTATAAATACCGTGCTATACTTAAATAAGAAAAGATGAGATAGATGAATTGATATTATATTTTAACACTTGGATGGAAAATTAAACAATAATTATTATACACTCTGCACTACTGGCAACAATTACAATAGTCTTAAAGCTCATCAAAAACAGTATAACCCATTATCAAGTACATTAAATAGTATTACAACTCACAAGGGGAAAAATACAAATTATACTTAAATGTTTACATACGTGACAATTGAACCTTAGGCCTAGAGGTTCCCACGGAATCAGATAGATGATTTGCACACCCGTAATTAGACATGTAAATTTTATTTTATTTGCTCTTTTTGTATACTAATAATTTAATATATATTCTTCATATTTCATATAAAACCCTATTTTTTAATTGGTGTTTGTGCCAAACTATCTCTCAATGGAC